TTTTTTTTTTTTTTTTTTTTTACAAATAATTAACAGTATAAAGGTAAGAGCATATATCACAGAGGTACACTGACATAAATGATATCACAAAATAGCGCTAACAAGCAGTCAAAAAAAGAGCAAATGTTTCATTCATTTCACCTGTGCAAAGAACTATGCAGATACCACTTAAAATGTTACCAGAAAGTATCTCACAGACTCATTCATATTTTGTGGCAGTCTTGATACTTTAGTACTTTGGAGTGTCTTTGTAGTGTTTCAACCTTTATCATCACAGTTAATAATGACAACAATAAAGCCGCCCTAAACTTTGGTAGATCTGACCACTGGACAATTATGCCTGCACTGAGAAATTCTCGGGGGCATACTGGTTTTTGCTGTGTTTGCTATGTCTCTTACATGTGGCTGCCAAGGATGGAGTCAGAGAAATGGGGAAGGTGGATGAGCTTCCTTGCAACATCCACCAATGTTAGACTGGCCTTCAGATGTAGCCAACATAAGGTTCAATAGCTTTTAGACTGCTAATATTAAAACTAAAATAAGTTTGGTCTATGGATAATCAAAAGTGGCTTTGCATTATTTCCTATGTGGAGCTGCTGTACTGAGCATTCTTCAGCTACAGTGTAGGTTATGGGCCAACTGACTTTAAAGTAGGAATGAAGAGCCTTGAAATACACAACCATATATACTTCCTCTTAAAAGACCATACAGCAATTTATACTTCAAGACTGAGCTGACTGATCCTCAAAAGAAAAGAATAAAGCTGTGACATTTCTCAAAGTGCATATACTTTACATTTTCCAGTAATTTGAAGGCAGATCTTTGAGAAGTACAGTGAGAGATAAAGGATAAACTAGATAAAGCACAAAAATAAAAACAAATAATAAAGCAAAGGCCTGATCCTACTCCTTCTATGGCAAACTCCCATTGAATTCAGCAGGACTGGAGCCACTAATAAATAGTATGTCATAAATATTATATATACGTCAATATATTTTATGTATACTCATTAGATCAAAAATATACATTCAGTTTATATGAAATATATGTAAGAAGATGCTTAAACTATAGGAGCACAGGACTAGGAGGAACATAGGACCCTTATTTACATTCTCCACAAAAAGTCCATATGTTCCTAATCTACCTGGAGACCTAATAAAAAAATAAGGGTTTCATTTTGCTAGGTGTTATGCTAACATAGATTTAAAAAATTATTCCTGTGTTGTAAAGCTTACAGTATAGGTAAAGCAGAAGGGAGACTGTATAAAATAATGGCGGTTTTTATAATTGAACATCAACATTTCAAAAATCTTGCTTCATTCTACCGTATCATGGCATCTGATGCACTAACCAGTAGCAACTGGGAATAATTCACACGTTGTAACAATTCTGTACATTCCAATCCTACACTGCATTGACAGCTATATTATAGCTCTTAACAGGACAAACAATATTTATGTTGCATCTTTATCATAGCTATTAACAAGAAAAACATAATATTAACAATGTAAGTTATTTCTAAATACCCACTCAATGCAAACTTCCTCTTCAACTGCATTGGCCCTTTTGTATTTCTAACATTATTACAGTTACCTTAATATTCCACATGTCCTGCTGGAGATACTTCCTTCTGACAAAGAGGTACTTCTGTCCTACTTGACAGGTTGAATGTTAAGACCCCAGAAGTCTTTAGTGTGTGTGTGTGTGTGTGTG